TAGCAAGTAAATCTAAATCAACGTTTTAAACAGAGTTTTCTATCAAAATGCAGAGTTCTTACAGCATTCATCAAGGTATTTCATTTTTTTTTGTCCCCAACAGCTATCTGGACTGAGCAGAAGGGTGAAAAAGAGTCTTCACCTCACTCAGAGACAGCAAAGTTAGTTCTTTTAAAGTCCTTTGTGCAAGAGTAGGGAGTGAGAGGTATTGTGCGGAAGGGAAGAGCCCAAAGTAAGTTAATGCCATTCAATTAGACTTAGACATAAGCTTTATTTTATTTCTGATTGAAGCAGGTATTTAAATAAGGGGTATCTGGAAGATAATCGGGCCTAGTTAATATGCTATGAGACATTTCTGTCTGAACCCTTCTCCATTTGGCTTTTGTTATCTGGAAAGGCTTACTCCCAAGATAAGGACAAACTTGGCTCATGTGAGAGAGATGTGAGAGGAGAAACACTGCATGGGGACTGGCTGGAAACTGTGAAGCTCTTCACAGCACTTAGAGGGTCTACAATCTAATACTTAAAGTGATATACCAGTGAAGAAAATGCTTCTCCTTCTCCCATCAACTATTAACCGCACATAAACCCACACAGAAGGGTTGATCTCTTCCCCCTCGCATTACAGCATGGTGAAGGGCCCCATCTTGTGGAAGCTCTGCTGTGTGCTCAGGAGTGCAGCATCCATGTTATGCCTGGAAAGCAGTGTTTGACACTGCTCTCCTCACTTTTTCTGGCTCATATATTCTTTCTGCCCCTTCTTTCATGATATTAATATCCCTTCTTAGAGGGGGTGTTATAAATGCTTCATTTATGACTAGGCATTTAACAGTCATTTATTCTCTGTAGTTTTACCAATTGTGAGTGTCTTCAGTCACCACTGATCAATGCAAAATGAAGCTTCTCTTACCAGAACTGACAGCATCACTAACCTATGTGCATATCAAGACTCCCGCTGCTAGTTAGTGTGTTACAGACATGATGGGGAAGCTACACTAGTGAAATCTCCACCTTATGGAAGTCTATTAAGATCTGCATAAAGACAAAACCAGATGACCTGCCAAGTTGGATGGGGGAAATTTCATGGGATCCCACCTCTAGATAAATAGCTACAGGCAATCAATGGATGCTGAGGGAGGGAGAATCAGTTTTCTCCAGGGACTAGCCCCCTGAGAGGTTCTAATTCTAAGTGGGAGGCAGCCCTAAACACAGGTACACACAAGTACCACTCAAAGGACTGAGTGCATTTTATATACATATATATATATAAAATATATAAAACAACAATAAAGAAGAGGACAAGAAATTGAGAGGGAGTTGGGAGATGGACATGGAAGGAGTTGGAGAAGGACTAGGAGGGGTAGAAGTAATGCCAATGCAATACTCATGAGTGAAATTCTTAAAAAATGAAATATAAAAATATCTAGCTATTTAGAAGACTTTGACGGGCACATCATGTCTATTTAGTATAACCACAGAGTATCCTCCATTAGGACCTATGACCTGCCCAACACCAGGCTTTGACTGGGTTTATAGGACTAGACATGAATTCCCTCATATGCAGTGAGCATCAAAGCCAATCAGAAACCAGTTGTTTACCCCGATAACAGAAGTGTCAATATTGAACCAGTGGTTCACCCTGTCTGGCCAATCAGCATTGGTGCACACAGGGGCCACAGCTGAGCAAGGATGTTGGTGACAATTCTTCCCAAGCAGCTTGCTTCATACCTTCCAGCTTTATGAATGCTGGACAGCCAGGAGGACACTTCTAGCCCAGTTCCAGCTTGATTTCTCTGTATTCTGTGACCAAAGCATGTGACATCTTCAGAAACAGGATCTGATCAATGAGGTTCTGGCAGGCAGCCAACAACAGTAGCAATTTCCTGTATTGCTTTAGGGGCCTCAATAGCCTCCCTGGCCAACAGTTCACAGGGAGGTAGCCCACTCTTGGCTCTGAGATTTTCATTTAGTAACCCATGACTTTGGGGAGCAATTTTATCCTCCCATACAGGGGGGTAAAGAGATAAAACTGTTTATGTATACTTTATTTTGATTATTGCTTATGTTGCTGAGCATCACATATCCTCACCTCTAGGATGCAGATGGTTACAAGTGAGGCTTTTGCCTAGAATTTAGAAGGGCTTTCTGGCTACCAGTAAATGGAACAGAATGGAGTATATTAAGGAAAACATTTTACATCATTCTTTTTTCAGGTAAAATTGTCTTCTTTTACTCTTTTTGATTTTTCAGATACTCGTTTCTTCACGCATGCCATAAAATAGTCTTTTCAGATGAATTTGAGTACACAGGATACCTTGTGGTGTTGATGAACACATATCCTATGGTCATCTGTTGGGTGTCTCAGTTAAATGACATCTATGAATATGAAATAAGATATGCTAACTACTATTTTCTTACCTTTTACATTCTAGAGGCTCTACTTAAGGTAATGTAAACTTGGAATCTATGAATGTGTTTCATAAAGCAAAGGGTTTCCTGACTTTGTTTCAACACTAATTACAGACAGTTTTCTAAGAGAATATGTGAAATTCTCTTTCTCTTCTTTTCTGAAATATTTTATTTATTATTTATTTATTTATTTATTTATTTATTTTTGGTCTTTTTGAGGCAGGGTCACTCACAGAAATTGGCTTGTCTTTGCCTCCCAAGTGCTGGTATTAAAGGCATGTGCCACCATGCCCGGCTATTATTTTTATTTTATGTGTACAAGTGTATTGTCTGCATGTATGTAAATGCACCCTATTGCTCAATGTCCACAGAGGTCAGAAGAGGGCATTAGATCCCGTGGAACTGGAGTTACAGATGGTTGTTAGCTACCATGTGGGTGCTAAGAATCAAACCTGGGTCCTCTGCAAGAGCCATCTCTCTTAACTGCTGAGCCATCTTGCCAGCCCCATAACAAAATATCTTTAAGCAGAAAATTTTAATGAAGGACTTTAATGATATTTGGGAAGAACAGACATATCACTAATGTTCACTGGAAAATTTAAATGCTGCTGCAGATCCATGGTATGGAAAAAAAAAAACCAGATTCAAATTCAGTCACATTGTATGTAATAAATTTCAGGCCACTCAGAAAGGCCATTAAGAGGTATCATAGAATTAAAAGGATGGGAAGCAATTAGGGGTAAGATTAGTAATAATGTGCAGGTGAGGGTGAAGGAGATCCTAAAATCCTTTGACATTCTCTATCCTGGAAAAAAATCCAAAATGAAAATTCAGTATACCCCAGCTCTGGTTTTTGTTTTCTCTGCAATGCTATAAGCTGTTGGCCAAGTTCCTGAAGTTTTCTCAGTCTTACTTTGTTCTACTATAGAATGGCGGGGTTGGTCAAAGTGACAGACAAATGTCTCATCAGATCAGCACCAGGTCACTGTGCTGTTTGCACTTTGCCAGGCTGAGCTGCTCCCATAGCCATACTGGGCTTCCTACATTCAGGCTGAGTTAAGACATCAGAATTGGATGCCGAGTCATCATTACACTTATGAAGACACTAAGATGTTCCCAACGGCATAATCTTGTTTTGTATTCCATCAACTTAAGAGGCATCCTCAGTGCTTATTTTGCTGCCGGACATTCATCATTTCCTTTACCCCCTTTTCTATGGAGTTCAGTCCTGCTCTTCTTTGCCCTGCCTTTTAAAACCTTCTTGGTGGTCACAACAATAATAATGTATCAACTACGGGGTGCCAGTCATTTTTATTACAAGATTTCAGATCTTTGATTTAACCCTGTAGGGTAGATACTGTGTTTACATTTTACAGATCAGGAACCTGAATCTGTGATACGTTGTGTAACATGTCTAAAATCACACAAATCAATGAAAAGTTTAGTCAGGGTCCAGTCTCTCAAAGGTTGTTCTCTTTCCAATATTCAACATTATCTTAAAATTCCCTTCCTTGTGTTTTCAACATTTCCTCAAAATACTCCTGGTTCTGTTGGAGAAGTGGGTCTCTTGATACTTTCTCAGGGGAAGTTCCAATCCCTCTTCCGTATCTAAGAAGTAGAGTGAATGTTCCATTCCTGAGGTTCTGGCCATTCTTTGCAGTCTTACATTAAACAAATTTCTCCTCATTTGAGACATGCTCTATACATTTACACAGCTCTTTCTTCTCCTGTGGTTATATTCTTTTGAACCCCAGATAACATACTCCATTTCTGAATGCTTGGCACCAGGACAAAGTCTCACTCTTCACCACAGTTCCATCAAGTTCCTAAGGAGCTTATCCAATCAATACTCTATTTCAATAGAAGAAAATGAGACATCTGTAGAGACCAAATGATACCTTAATATGATCCCACAAGACCATGATCTGGTCCTGCTTTTCAAGGTCCATACACTGAAGTTCCACATGGGACATGGCTCTTAGATACTAAGCACATAAAATGTATTAACAATTATGGCAATTTCCTGATTCACAATGGAACAGATACTTCTCTGGGGTACGAATATGTCTTGTCTTCCTACTCTCTCCTGAAGTTACAAAGAAGTAGGATTAGGACAGTAAGAGAAAAGTAATTAATCAAAATGATAAATAATTATTTTCTATCTTAAAACAGAGGAATAGATTGGTACTATGGGCACAAACAGGAGTTCCTTAGAGATACCAGTGGGGTCAAAGAAGGAAGGCTTTCAGTGGAAAGGGAGGCTTACATTGAATGTGAGTAATAGACAAGGGAGGAAGAACAGGAGGAGCACTTATGTATATGAGGCGATGAACAATGAGATGAAGGGAAGCAGAAAGCATTATGACACATGGAAGGAACATCACTCCCCATGACTGGAGCTCCCTGGGCTAGGTTGGACAGTGTGGAGATTGGAGAGCTGTTAAATTAGGACAAAGGGTGTGAGAGTCAAGTAAAAACATGAATTAAGCAGTGACGGTTTTATATGCCTTGCTGTCTCATTTCTTCCTGGCAGCAATGACTGTTCTTTATTTCTTTTGTTTTATAAAATAATTTATTTATTATTTTTGTTTTATGTGTAAGTGCACCCATGTCACCCAATGCCTATGGATGTCAGAAGAGGGCATTGGATGCCCTGGCACTGGAGTCACAGATGGTTGTTAGCAGCCATGTGGGTGCTGGGAACCAAACCTGAGCTCTCTGCAAGAGCAGCCACTGGTTCTTAATCACTGAACCCTTTCTCCACCCCTATGACTGATCGTTTTCAAATAGATCCCAAATCCATGTCTCAGGCTCAACCATTATCCAGAACCTCAGATCTTATATGCAAGTACTGAGTGGGTGAGACAAAATACTGCACCTATTTCTCAAATACCAAACTCAAAATAAACACATCTGCTCTAGAATTGTTCTTCCTTTGAATTGCACTGAAAACCTAACTACTCTGGAATCCATATGCATCTGAAGGTCTCCTATTCTCTTACTACAGCAAGTTTTCAATAAATAATTGTGGGAATAGATAAGGACTTAATAAATGAACTATCAAAAAAAACAGGAGATATGGGGTTAGAGGGATGGCTCAGTGGTTAAGAGCACTGGTTGCTCTTCCAAAGGACCCGGGTTTGATGCCCAGCACCCACATGGCAGCTAACAACTGCCCGTAACTCCAGTTCCAGGAGATCCAATGGCCTCTCTAACCTCTGTGGGCACTGCACATCATGGGTGCTCTAACACACATGCAGGCAATACACTCCTACACATAAAGTACAAATAATAAATAACATTTTTTTAAAAGGAGATATTTTGAATATTTTCCATAGGAGTAGATCCTTCAATATTTTAGCTATATCATTTCAAATTAATAAGATTATTTACTAGTAGGAGTACATATCTTAAGTAAACATGTCTAAATTATAAAAACCTTATTTTATTTATTTATTTATTTATTTACTTATTTATTTACTTTTGAGGAAGAGTCTCATGATGTAGCCATTGCTGGCCTGGAATTCGTTTTGTGGACCAAACTGGCCTCAAACACATAGAGATCTCCCTGCCTCTGCCTCCCAAGTACTGGGATTAAAGGCATGTACCACCATACCTAGCTCTAAATTCAAATAACTTTTAGGAAGAAGGATGCTACAATATTAAGCAATTATAGTTGATCATAATTCTGGAACCTTTAAAAATTACTTGCCCCAACATTGTAAATGCAGCAGAGCCATGTCTTATATATGTTATATTACTTGGATACATTATAACTTACATGATAGAAAACATGAGCATGCTAGGCTGGGTGTGGTGGCACAAACCTTTAATCCCAGCACGTGGGAGGCAGAAGCAGGGAGATCTTAGTGAGATCAAGGCCAGCCTGGTCTACAGCGAGTACCAGGCCTCCTGGGGCTACAGGGAAACCCTATCTCAAAAATCAAACCAAACCAAACAAAACAGAAGCAACAAAGAAAGAAATAAAAAATAAAAACAAAAGCATGAGAGTAAAGATGCAAAATCTTAACCTTTCAGATCATTTTCACTTTAGCTGACCTTGCAAAATCATATTCTAGTGGAAATTTCATAACTCAACCAGAAACCTACCTCAACTGCTAGAGTTAGCCCTAAGCATAACCATCAGAAAAGCTCTCAGAGCTGTCTGTAGTCTCTAGACAACAAGATCTTTGTTTTCCAAAATTCAGATTAAATTATATTAAGTACATTCAAATGAATGTAATCAACTACCTCTTTTAACCTGGTTTTATGCCTATAGTAGATTTTCCCATTTCCAATAGGGTTACTTTTTGAAGGAGTCTTAACGAATGTTGTCTTAATCAAGTATTACTCTCACAGGCTGCCCCCACTATCTTCCTAGTTATATGGAGGAGAAAAGAGAGAGGGAGTAAAGAGGAAGGAAACTTCCTTCCTATAAGGCAACTTCTCAATTTATAGTTATAAGACATAAAATGTAGTCATATTAATAAATTCTTTTAAAAAAACATCCTAGTAAGCTATTCCTATTCTAATGTAGGAATACATGGTTAGAAAGAACATATCAAAATAGCTTTTGATGTCTTATTTGAAAACACACCTGTTGATGCCACCATATGTTAGCTTTACAAGCAACTTAATGAAATAAAAGGATGAAGCCATAACCAAGGCAACATTCATAAAATATTCACATTTGCTTAGGTTTTCAAACAACTAAAAATGACTTTTATTCTACATTATCATGGAATAAATTTGAAGAATAAATGTTTTCTTAAATGAAATTAATATTTAAATCCTGAAATACTTTAATAAACCATGGCCTATGTAAATCACAATAAAACAAATCAGGGGTTTTCATGTTATTTAATATCACAAGTTTATATAATTACTATAAATAGAGACTTTGGGATTATTGTGGTATTTAGGATTGTTTGAAATTAAAAGACATTGACACATGATATTTTGCTTGAATTTGTCCTGCTGCTGAGTCTTTTCTCCAATGTCATTTTCTAAATCTGTCTTTCACCTCTGGCCATACTTTATGATTATTCCTATATCAGTAGTTCTAAATGTGTTCTTTTACTAAAGGATGCAGCTAAGAAGCATGCTCTGCTTGCCTGGCTAACTTCGTATTCCTGGTGGTTTCTGACATGTAGAGTCCTAAGATAGATCAGAAAAGAAAAACAACAACAACAAAAAAAAACCCCTTAGTTGGTGATGCTTAATTTACTGTGGAAAATAGTGTAGTAACAGCACACACATACAGAAAAGCCCAAAAATATGACAATGCAATTTCCTTTGATATCAACAGATGGTAGTAATGAGGAAGAAATTTATTTCATACCACTGGCTCCTATTTGAGTTAGGAATCACCTTAATCGGCATCTTGGATGTAATAGTTATTGAAACAGATACCATTAGTTATGATGGTTTAACTGAAATAGTGATCTTTATGAACCTTGTTCGACTCCTTCGTGTCCTACGAATCTTGAAGGTAAGAATAAGTAAATCTCACAATTTTAAATCCCTTCTGAATATCTCATGATGTATCAACTTCAAATCAAACAGCAGTCTTAGGCCAACCTTCTGTCGAGCTAATGTTTACGTACGAACTTTTAGCTACCTTTAACCAGTCAAGTTTTAAAACATTTTATATTATGAATATTCAAATTATATTAGAAATTAGATTTGCAATGGAAGTATAGACATACTTATCACAGCTTTCCCTTGTAATAGAGAGCTCATGACAATTGTATAGTCAGATAGATAAAAGTGAATGCTGAAGTAATATTTGTTTTTATAGTTAGGGAGACAAAAGAGGGAAACAAGCAAAACAAATTACCATAAGAAACAGTCACAGGAGCAAAGGCAATAGTATATATTCACATCCATTAAGAACTGAAATATACACAATTCATAGAGTGTAAATCCAGAGTCATGATATCAAAAATTACACACCTAGGGGGCTGGAGAGATGCTCAGTGGTTAAGAGCACTAGCTGTTTTTCCAAAAGACTCGAGTTCAGTTGCCAGCACATGGTAGCTAACAACCACCTTTAACTCAGGTTCGAGGGGATCTCATGCCCTCTGCACAGGCATTGCATGACATGGGTGCACTTACATACATACAGGTAAAATATTAATACATGTTTGATAATTTTTTTTTAATTTAAAGTTTAGGAAAACAAAACCAGGCTGGAGAGATGGCTCAGTGGTTAAGCGTTCTTGCAGAAGAATCCCAGGTTTGAATCCCAGCACCCACATGACAGCAAACAACTGTCCATATCTCCAGTTCCAGATGATACAATAGCCTCTTCTGTCCTCCACGGGCATTTCATGACACGGGTGCACTTACCCACATCCAGGCAATACATGCATACACATAAAATAAAAATAAAATATAAAACAAAAACCTACATGCCTCATCCATGTTGCTATGGGAAGCATGGTGGTAGTTATTTCTTGTATGACTATCAATTATGGGAAAGTCATTCCATGACACAGCATATGAGGATGGGTGGCCACGATATAGAATGTTTATGTTTCTTATACATGCTTGGAAATATTTTTGCTAGTAAGAGACATAAACCAACTAGGTCTAAAGTGCTCAATCATCACTCTCTCCTTTTGTAGTATTCTAAGAGAAAATAAATAACACAGTATGCAATTTAATCTGAGGACGCAAGTCTAGCATATTCTAAAGTCAAATTCATTCTTTCTGACGTGAGGATATACAGGGACTACTGAATAGATGAACGAACTGGTAATCCACCTAAGAAAAGTTTGCGAATATATTCAGAAAACTGTGAATACTTATGTCAAATGGTAGACCCTGTAGTCTCTGTAACTATGGAGCTTACTGTATGAAGGAAAGCTTGTTGTAGAGGGGAAATGACATGTGATCTAGATATTGCAAAGTTACATGGCAGGATGGGTTGAGATCAGTTATATGCACAGAATCCCGGTGGGAGAGAAGACTGCATTTGTTAGATGATACTAGAGCTGAATCTTGAGAGATGAGTAGCCATTCTTTAGGAATTTGTGAGTAAAGCAAGTTGCAGAGCCTGGGTAGGAAAACAAAGGCAGCTGTCAAATGTGCTGGAGTTAAAGCACTGTATCATGGCCACTGGTAACCTGTAGGTGCACACGCTCAGTAAAGAAACAGAAAGTGAAGTTAACTGCAGTGTCAGATAGGAAGTGTGGTTAGGCCAACAGACCATCTAGTCAGAGTTTGGTAGAAGACTCAGCATATGAAACTGGCAGTGCTCTATAGGCAATCACTTTTACAACCTAAGCTCAGAAAAATAATTTCATTGTTTAACAAAAGCTTAAAACATTTTTAAAATTCAGTTCCTTAAAGGGGAATGATACATAAAACTAAAGTTATGAACACTCAGTGGCACTCAACATTATTTTTAATTTTTATTATATTATTTTTACTTATTTTTGTGTGTACATATGTGTATGTATGTATGTATGTGTGTTGCTCATGCCTTGGTGCATATGTGGAGGTCAGAGAACAATTTTATGGTGTTCGTTCTCTCTTGCACCATGTGGGTTCTGGGGCTGAAACTCAGGTCTTCAGGTTTGGCACAAATGCCTTTACCATTGAGCCATTTCACCAGCACTAACATTATTACTTGTTGAGAAATAGCTGTGGTCATAAAGTTATAAAAACACTATGAACAAAATAATTAAGAAACTTAAGAGATTACAGTACTTACACTGAGATTACTTAATTTATTAATTTTGGTCAAACTAAGCTAAATATGAACAAAATTTGTGCAATTAATATGTAATGGTGATTCTGTTCTGTTCTTTTTTTAGCTCATAACACCAAAATTGCTACAAATAATAGATAAAAAGATGACCCATGAGATTTCCTTTCAATATGCTATACTGAAAGGATATGTTCAAGGGGAAATGGATGTCCTGAACATAATTGATCAGATTGCAAGTTCCAAACAGGCCAAACAGGTGAGAAAAACCTTGTGCACAGGAGAAATCTTCTCTCCTTCCACTCCTCTGTGGCTCACATACATCAAGGCCCATGTGTTTACATGTAGGTATGGTCTCTGACTCCTGGGTTGCTAGTCAGTTTTATAGGAAGTTCAACTCATCTGCTTTTGTATTACTACATCACATATCTTTTTGAAATAGACATATATGCCATATTAGCACGTTAGGAGCCTCTTGGAAGGCATTTTTCCATCCTTGTAAAACTCATGCACAGTGGTCAGCCTTTGCCCAATGCCGGTTGTAGGAATAATCAGGAAAAAACTGGAAAGTGAGGAGTGACTGAAGTGTCAAAGCTTCCTCATGATTTCCCAGAGTTCCTTCCATCCCTCTCCATCCCCCGAGAGGACAAAGGAGGGGGAATACTAGGACTTGGGCCTCTAAAAGATTGCCCAGTTTTTGTTATGATTTCAGCTCTTACACACCAGTCAAATCTTCTGTGAACTTGAAGGTGAAAACTATCCCTGTGTCCCCATCATACCTTTTTATAAAACTAGGAGGTTAGGTTAAAATGCTATCAATTGCAAATACAAGAACCCTTTGTAGTGCTTTATTTTTCCAATGGAGGTAACATTTCTTTTGTTCTGTAGATATTATTAAAGCGGGTAACAAAGAATATGGAACGTGCTATGAAAGAGCTAGGTAGGTACCTTCACTCTAAATATGAAATTTGACCACCTTTTAATCTCTTAACAAAACAGCTTCAGAAAAGCAATAATTTTTACAAATTATAATCCTTGAGGAAACCTACTCCTAGTAGAATGGGAACTTCAGTCATTCATATGGTTGTCTTTTCTAGTATAGAGTTAATATAAATGTATAATTTAATATTAACATATGTAATATTTAGAATAATACCTCACCACATTTGCTCTGTGCCTGACACAACAAAGAATTTTGTTCAAATGATCAATGATAATATGCCGTTATTCTGAATGCCATTTCAAAGCCCTATTAATGTTTTTTTTTTCCAAACTAGAAATACTGGCATCTTCTTGAGTGACTCAGAGACCTGGATTTTGTCTTTATTGATTGTAATCAGAACAGAGCTCTGGGGATCTCTGTGTGAAGTGTGGGGGTCTCAGTGCCACCCTGGCAAGAGGCTCATCTCTGAGTCATGCCAGGCTATTCTCTTGGTGCAAGATGAATCTTGAGAGTGCTGCAAACATCCTGAGAATGTAATGCTCAAGTGTAAGGACAGGAGTTAATGGCAAGTGGTAGATAGGAAAGGAATGCAGCCTGAGAACGAGGCTATTGGGCAAATAGTCCCAGGACGGACAAGAGGTCATGACCAAGGAAAAGTCCACATGTCCAGTGTGAGTGGCTGGGATTTGCATGGACATCAGGAGTCCAGATGAGATAAGAAAAGTATAGATTAATGCATCTTCTAGATTCACTAGCAGAATGTGAGAACAGTGACCCAAGATGAGCAACAGGGTCACTGATGACTTAATCAGAAGTCATATATTCCTGATCCAAACAGAATAGGAATGTAGATCACAAACAGTCCTAAAGCCCCAAGCATGCTCCTGGGACCCAGTGATTGTGGGACCAGTGGGGCTATTAGCTTAGGGATAGGGTGCCATCCCTTTTCCATGGGTCTAGGCACAAGTGTGAGTGTTGCCATGAAAATGACAGAATTCTGGCACTACAGGTGAATGGATGATTGCAATGGACGTGTCAGTAGGGTATGTGCTCTTGGGATAAGGATTGCACTTCATGGACTTAGAGGAAATCTGTGCGCTTAGTGTCCTCACAAAACGGTTAAGACAGTGTTCTTATTTTATCTGAAAATATTTGTTATTTTTCAGGCTACTTAGAATATAATTATCCAGAAATTGCTGTCACTATGAAAACCAAGGAGGAGATTAATGTCATGCTTAACATGGCTAGAGAAATTGTCAAGACTTTCAGGTCAAAAGGAATTATTCACAAAGTGGAAGGTGCTGAAATTAATAAGGTAAGGTAACATATTTTCAGAATTAACATGTACTTTTGTGCCATAAACAACTGAAAAGAATGAGACAGCTGTTAAAAGAGTAGACATTTATATTCTATGAAAGTTTAGCTTATATAAAGTCAGACTACAGTGTTGAAGCTTCATGATGTTAAATGTAATCCTCATGATTACCACAAAAAATAGCCAAACAATATATACAGAGAATATACTCTAATGCTGCACTATAGAAATTCATCTAAACAGAACAGAATGCAATAATGCAGAAAACTGAACAGGAAAATAACTTAATAATGTAGGACAAAAAAGCTATAGGCACTTCGAAAAGGCAAATAGAAAAAATACAACAAAATGACAGAAGTTGGTCTCATGGGGAGTCAGCAGGGGGAAAATGGCGACAAGATATGATCATATTTTGTTGTATATATGTATGACATTTTCAAAACTAAAGGGAATTATTAGAAATTGCTTCAAATATAAGAGGATTAAACTCTCCAAACAAAAGGTGAAGATCAGCAGGATGGATAAAATGAATATGGTCCAACTACATGCTATTTTTGGAAAAGAATGAAGTTAGATCCTTACCAAACACACATAGAGAAATTAACTCAAAATGGATCCATGATCCAGATGTGAGGCCTAAAATGGTAAAACTCTGAGTGAAAACATAAGACTAAATGATTTTTTAAATTTACAGTCACAGGCACATGAAAATATGGAAAAAAACAGATGGAAACAACAATTTTTAAATGTGCACAAAAGTATTCTCTATTAACAAAAATAAAAGTGACCCACAGAGAGGAAACACTTTCAACATATATACATACACACATACATACATATATACGTATATATGTGCATACACACAGTCACCGGGGAACTGGAGCTCAAAACTAGGATAGCAAACAAATCAAATACATTTCCAAAACCAGAAAGAGATATCTAGGGATTTTCAACTAAAAACATTCAAGACTGGTAAGACAGATCTGACCAGAGGGAAAGTTTACCCTGTTGGGTTAGAAAAAACAAGAAACAAGAAACAAAACCAATGGCATTTAGAGTATCTTGCATAACAGTGCTAGGTGAAATTTAACACTTTCCCATACAGATAATCAAAGGATTCAGCATCATTTATGAAAAGATCACGCTACTCCATTATGCTGCAGGCAGTTCTATCCTAAGATTGTGACTGAGTCTGTGTGAATCAGATTCTGGAACCTGTGTTGTTTCATTGTTGGATTTATCTTTGAACCAACCCACACTGTGTGTGTGTGTGTGTGTGTGTGTGTGTGTGTGTGTGTGCATGCGTTTTGAGACAGTGTCTCCCTGTAATTCCAGCTGGCCTGGAATTTGTTATGTAGACCAGGCTGGTCTTGATCTCAAAAAGATTCACCTCCTCTTCTTCTCTAGAGCTGTAATTAAAGGTGTGCACCACCACACCTGGCAAGCCACACGATCTTGATTACAGAAATTTAATAAATCTTCACATTTGATTGCATCTTCCAGTTTTGTTCTTCAAGACTATTTTGACAAAATTTGGAACTTTATCTTTGTAAATAAATTATAAAGATAGTGTGGCAATTTCCACTAAACTGTCTACTGAAATTTCTAATAGCATTCCATCAAGCTTGTAAGTCAATTTTGCAAGAATTGCCTTTCTGTTGCTGTGACAAAACACCAAAGAAAATTGACTTAAAGGAGTCAAGATATGGTTTGCCTGCAGTGGTTACAGAGATTGTAGTCCATGATCACTTGGCTCCATTGTTTCTGGGAGCAAAAATCCATCCATCTTATTTTCGTTTTCATGTAGTATGATGTCATGTGACTGAAGAACTGCTTTCTCTACTGTTGATTGATGCTTGTGTATCTTCAGTGGAGTTCATATGAGCAATGCTGCTATCACAGGTGGATCTTAGAAATATAATGTACAGTGACAGAAAGCAGATGCAAACAGATGTTAATACATAGTCTTGACCTCACAGAGATAAAAGACAAAAGCAGAAAAGCTAGAGGGTGGTCATAGAAGAATGGCCGTTATCTTACAGAGGCTCAGTAATTGGAATACAATGTGGGATCCTAGGGTGCAGCAAATACTTTGGTATTTTTCACCTGGGTGCTGCTTATACAACAAATATTCCCTGAGTAAAAACTAATAATGTGTGCACTTTTTGTACATCTGCTATCCTTCAGTAGGAAGGCTTACTTAAAAAAAAAAGTTTCTATTGGGGCTGGAGAGTTGACTCAGCGCTTAAGAGCAGTAACTGCTCTTTCAGAGGACCCGGGTTCAATTCCCAGCACCCATATGGTGGCTAACAACCATCTGTAACTCTAGTTCCAGGGAAATCTGACACCCTTTTCTGACCTCCACGAGTATTGCATGACATGGGTGCACTTATACACATGCAGGCAATACACTCATAAACATAAAAATAATAAAACATAATAAAACAACACAAAAAATTTTCTATTGGCCCCACGGGCTTCGGCTGCTGGATGGGAGAGGTGGGGCGCTGCCTCCCTGGCCTGGCTTCCCACCAGGCTACCATGTCAGCCAGGAAGTCAGGCACATGGTAGGAGATGCAGGTGGAGATGGAACTCTGCTGCCTGAATTCCAGCAGGAATGACCCCTGAGCTCTTTAAGCATCTGTCAACCAAGCTCATCCATAATGACATGACTGAACTCCCAGGGGACTTGAAGCTAGAGCAGCACTTGAAGGAGAAGCCCCTGTAGCAGGGAGCCAGTCCACCCCAGGTCCCGCTGATTGAAATGCACAAGCATTTGCTGCCATGAACTGAGGGAACCTGAAGTCAGAATTCCTACAAGAATCCAATCTGATGATGACCAAGTTGACGCCACGGATGACTGAGGAAGCCTATGCTGCCAAAGAAGGAGGGTTGTCAGAGGAGAGTCTTGAAGAGGACTTTGCCCTTGTGCATTTACAGCATGGTCCCTCAAAGCTCTCACAGGTTGACAGCCATCTGGATGATAATGGCAGCCGCGGTTGCTGCTGCTGCTGCTCATGCTGGAACAACTTGAGTGACTCGGGGGCCTTCATGGGCTTCTCCAGTGCTCCACTCAGCAGCCGAGAAATGAGTGGGGATCTGCCTGGTGTGCAGGAGCAGAACCCAGATGCCCGGCCATATTGGGCCTGTCCCCTCTATCCAGAGGATTATATCTGAAAGATTTTAACCAGAGGAGCAAGGTTTTCGGCTAGTCAAATGAAGCAGCTATGCTCTGGAGCCCCCTTCTGACTGCCAAGGCCATTGCAGGACATGAGTGTGGTTACCTGCATACAGGGAGAAACACTGAGAGCCTGAGAACTTAAGGAAAGAAAGAGAACTAGGACTATGGTCCCTTCCCCTTGAGCTCAAGCTGTGGTCCTCTCCAGTGGGCTGGAGCTGTGATCCCTCCTGTAAGCTGGAGCTGTGGTCCCCTCCCTTGAGCCCGAGTTGAGGTCCACTCCTGTGAGCTGGAGCTGTGGTCCCCTCCTGTGAGCTGGAGCTGTGGTCCCCTCCCTTGAGCTGGAGTTGAGGTCCACTCCTGAGAGCTGGAGCTGTGGTCCCCTCCAGTGAGTTGGAGTTGGAGTCCCCTCTGGGGAACTGAAGCTGTGGACCCCTCCTGTGAGCAGGAGCTGTGGTACTCCCCTGTTGGCTGAAGTCCTGGTCCTCTCCTATGAGCTGGAGTTGTGGCTCCCCTCCTTTAAGGTGAAGTTGTGGTCCTCTCCTTTGAACTGGAGCAGTGGTTCTCTTTCTGTAAGCTGGCACTATGGTTACCCACCTGTGATCTGGAGCTATGGCCCCCTCCTATGAGATGTAACTGTGGTACCTCAAAACAATATGGACTCCCAGTCCCACGAGGGATGATCAGAATGAACTGTGGTGGGGCAGGTGCTCACTCACTGTTGAAGACTAATGCCTTTTTCAACTCTCACCATAGAAGCTTCCTTATGCAGCAGATGCTGATTGACACAGAAACTTAATGGCTTTCTAATGTGTAAGGGGGAAGGGGCTGCAGAGTGCTTATCCCTGGGTGGGACGCCTCTGTCAGGCTTCTGGAGCTCAGGGCTTGGGAATCATTGCAGAAGAAGTGGTGGAAAGATTGTAAGAGCCAGAGGTGGTGGATGACCGTGGGAGGACAGAGTTCTCCAGACAGCTGGCCAGTTACTCATATGAACTCACAGCAATGGTGACAGCATGCACAAGTCCTATGCAAGCTTGAGTGGATGAGCCGAAGCTAGAGAACATTTGGGGATTCAAATTAGACTCTATAGGCTTTATTACCCAGAGAGAGTACGTTGAATTAAGCTGGGGGGTGTAGGGAGGAGTGGATGGGAGACACAAAATTACAAAAATTCAGTAAAAATGCTTCAAAAGAATAAAAAAAAGGAAAAAAGTTTCTATTGGATTTTTGTGATTTTTATACAGTATATTGTGATGGTATTTAGATCATCTTCCCTACCTGTAACTCCTCTTACTGCCCCCCCCACCCAATTTAGTGTATTCTATTGTATGTATATATGGCCTATAAGAGTCAAATGTGTGTCTCCAAATGTCCTTCAGTGTGAGTTCATCCACTGGAGCCTGGTTAACCTACCAAGAGTCACATCAAGAAGGCTTACTTTGAAAAGCTTAGTCTATGATTATAGAATAATGACCAAACAAAGAAATAGAAAAAAATGATAGAAAGGAGAAGTTGAGGGCTCCCATGGAAGAACAAAAATATCAGAAGTTCCAGAATAGTAAAGAGTTACATGCTGTGGTTTGGGTATGAAATACCTCCTGAATCAGAAGGCTGAGTAATGCAACACAGTAAACAGCCTCTGTCTCTCTCTCTCTCTCTCTCTCTCTCTCTCTCTCTCTCTCTCTCTCTCTCTCTCTCCCTCTCTGTGTGTGTGTCTGTCTCTGTCTGTCTCTCTCTCCCTCTCCCTCCCTCTCCCTCCCTCTCTCTTTGAATATTATGTGAACACAAGTTTAATTCATCTGCTTTCTTAAATTTTGTGATTTTAGTTAATCATGGCCAAAAAGAAAGAGGTGCTTGATTTTCAGTCCACTATCCAGCCTCTTGATGCTGAAGAAGCCCTGTTTAATATTCCGTGGCTTGGTAAAGATAACAACTGCATACACTTTATACAGGTAAGATTTTCACTTCCTAATAATATCTTTAATATAGTATTAAATACCTATAAGTAAGACCCTGCTGCCACAAACAGAACATACTTTGACACAGGATTTGGAGCAATAGAGCTGCAACTGACCTGAAACCATTTCCCCTGAAGTCTATCTCTCATAGTTTTGGAGAGCACTATGAAGGTGCCAAGGGAAAATACCAATGGATGATGCAACACCAGCTTCAAGACCAAATAACCACACCAATGGCCAGCACAGCATATATCATTGGTGCAGTAGTGGCACTCTTATTTTAGGGGCAATCAACAGCTACCTAATTTGACTAAATGCCCACTCAAAACAGAGGAAACTCAAGTGTGGTAATGTAAACATAACTTAATACACATGGCTAGAGTGGCCACAAAGCTTAGAGCAAACCTCAAGACTGTCACATCGCTAGGCTAATGTGATTTCTCACTATGTGCAAAATATGTATCCTTATATTTACAGACAAATATCCCAGTCACCACTCATCAAATAAGCTCATTTTGTACCAGTCAGAGACTATTACCAAGTACCATAACTGGTCACATGTGGTTATTGTCTATGAATTCCCAGGCCTACACATAAGGCTCATGGAACATAGAACAGGGGTAAAGAAGAGGACTCTAATGAATCTCTCAGTTCTCAGTAATGAAGCTCCCTCATGCAGTGGAGGGAGGGCCAGGAACACAAAAAGGTCACAAATAGCTAAAGTGTAGAGACGAACAGTCTACTAAATGCTGTTCTTTGGACAGGATTCCTTTATTAAACTTCTCCCATCCAAGGCTCAGGGGCCATCTTGGAAGGGGGGTAGAAAGATTCTAAGAGCCATGGAAATGGTGTCAGCATTCGCAAATCCCATGCAAACTCAGCATAGAACTGGGAAAATGAACAGCAGACACCAATCTTATCTGAAGGAATGATGACAACTGATTGCTGCTAGATGAAGAAGAGCTGATTTTCCTAAAACAACGGACTCTAGATAGACTGACTAGACTTAGTGGAGGGACTTACACTGGGGAACAGCTGGGGACACTGACAACCCAGTGGGCATTAACAGGGTTGACAGAGTATATGGGTTCCAGTTGTATGGAGGGGGCTATAGGAGGGTGTCAGTGGGGATCAGGTATAAAGATGATTAGAGTATTTGAGCTGTTCACAAAAAATTCAATTAAAAAAGAATTAAAAAATCTTTAAACAATAATGACTTAACTGTAATACTAAAAACTCTAAGTTTTCCCTTGCTACCTACAGGATAAAATTAAAATCCCTTCTAATAAGATGGGACATCTTACTGCAAGTTGCCTCCTGCCTGGTACTGCCCCTTCAGCCCCTCCCCCTCCTGATTCCTGTTCATCACACACTTTTTATTCTATTTATGCCAAACTGCTGATGGTGCCACACATACTACACTGCTGTCTAATTCCATTCATCTGTGGGTGCTATGTGACTTCCATGAAATGTCCCCTGATTCCAGATCTTTTTCAATTCTTACCTGTGGCATTTCTGAAAACCACCAATAGTCATCAAAGAAGTAGACCCTGGGATCATTTTCTTACCAGAACATCATCCCATAGTCAGTCTGCCTTTTGTGTGAAGGAACAACTTATTATTGTGCTACCATTATTTCTAATTTTTATTTCTGCCATGGTATTAAGTACATGTCATTATATTATTTTTACATCTATGTCCTTCACTGTTTAGTTCATTGGTCTTTTATCTTTTCCGTGTTGTTTCTTCTTCCTCTCTCTCTCTCTCTCTCTCTCTCTCTCTCTCTTTCTCTCTCTCTCCAGTTTATTTTTGAGACAGTCTCACTGTATATCCCAGACTGGCCTCAAAGTTACAATCATCCTGGCTCAGCTTCCCAAATATAAGACTACAGACCTGAGCAACATGCCTGGCCTCATTCATCTTTTGAACACACACTTCCAACTATTCTGTATAATGTACTGCATGCATTCCTTAAAGTGTTTGTGGCATGAATAAATCACTGGGCCTGACTTGCTTGACTGGTATTCTTTTCTGTACCTATTTGGTATCGAAACACTATATTTTCCCACTAAATATTCAGAATGGATTTTATAAACAGCTAAATTCATTAGCTGTTTAAAGCACAAAAATCTGAGACATGAAAATGTCATTTACTCCACATCTACCCCATAATTTTCACTAAGGTGAAACTTTTTTCACTTTCCCATTTTATTCTTACTCCTAGATTATTTTTTCTCACACATGTATAAGAATTGTATCTGAAACTTAAAATATTTATGATTTTCCACACTTTGCTATTCATAATTTTTATTTTCTCTCACAAATTTATCACCAACACAGTGTCTTAATTCTTACTTAATATTTAATTAAAGTATAAAAGTTTTATTAAAATGCTAACTCCACCATCCCCCAATTATTGCTAAACTATTCTGTAAGTTTTATATTTGGTAATTTTTGTTTTGATTTGTTTCAGGAAGGATCCAACTTTGTAACATTTGATTGTGAAAATAATATATTTGAAGAAGGTGATGAGCCACAAGGAATCTATATAATTATATCAGGCATGGTCAAGGTAAGCAGAGGTACTTATAAATGTACTTCTAAACATTAATTTCTTTTAAAAAAACTCTAAAATTGAGAATTAATGACTTTTAATGCTAAGAACTGAATAGTTCCTGTCTTAGGTTAGCATCTATCATGTAAATGACAATTTCCATGATCAGACAGAATGGTGGGCAACACCTGTCTCTTTTCATGCCATATACCTTCTTAGAGATAACAGGAACCTCTCAAAAGTGCCACATTTGAAGATTGAAAGTATAAATGCTTAGTCATCCTGTGTTTACATGATTGAAAGATTTATCCATTTAAAATGGATATAGATTCTCCTGTGAGCTGGAGCTGTGGTCCCCTCCCACGAGCTCTAGGAACTATGGAGACCCTGTGAACTAGAGCTGAGGTCCCCCTCCTGTGAACCTGGAGCTGTGGTCCTCTTCTGTGAGCTGGAGTAATGATCCCCTCCTATAATCAAGAGCTGTGGTTCTGTGGTAGTGTAAGTGTTGGAGTTGTACCTCCCATGAGCCACAGTTGTGGTTCCTGGCTATGAGCTGGGCCTGTGGTCCCCTCCTGTGAATATTGAGCTGTGGTTCCCTCCTGTAAGTTCGAGCTGTGGTCCCCTCTCATGACCTGGAGCTAGGGACCCCCCTGTGAGCTAGAGCTGAGGTCCCCTCCCGTGAACGTGGAGCTGTGGTCCCCTTCTGTGAGCTGGAATCATGGTCGCTTCCAGTGATCAGGAGCTGTGGCTTTGTCCAAAGTATTGGAGTGGTAGACCCCATTAGCCAGAGTTGTGGTCTCCTCAATGAACTAGAGCTGTGATTCTCTCCCATGAGTCACAGTTGTGGTTCCCTCCTGTAAGCTGGACCTGTGGCCCTCACATGAGCCTGAAGCTTTGTGCTGCTACCATGAGCCATGGTTCTACATTCCTCTGATGAAAGTCTGATGGTGGAGTAGAGTAGAGCATGGAGGACTTCCTGATGTTGAACGGCAATTCAGTCTTCTCTGAGTGATTACATTCCCTACAGCCCCTTTCCCTGATATCCCAGATTGTACATGGCAGAGGCTTTACCTCATGCTGAAGACAGGGGAGGCGCTGCTATTTTCAGGACAGATTCTGTTCTTGGGAGGACTGTTTCTCTGGAACAGACCTCCCACCTCCCCTGAGGCCCACCTGGGTCCTCTTCTCCCTCCACAGTAGTCCTGGGTATCCAGTCCTTGATGTTGGATCTCTCCCATTGCCAGACACCAAGAGA